CCCCCCCCGCCCCCGTGCCTGAATGTGTTTCTACTGGCGTCCCGCAAGTCCCAGGAAAGCCCGGAGGCCCCCAGCCTGCCGCAGTTTCTCTCTTCCTACTCAGGTGTCCGGATGGATGACTTTTCATGATGTTGGTGTTGCGCGTCTGGCTGGCTCCACCGCTCAGCTCTGCACAGGGGTCCCCCCTGGACCCCCCAAACTGAAGTAGCCCCCTCGCACCTCTCCAGATGCCATTCTGTGTTCTGTTCTTCGCTGCACTTAACCGCTACCAGAAATGTTTTGTTTTGCACGGAACGTGTTGCTGGTCCCTGTCTGCTGCATCCTAACGGCAGGGACCCCATGTGTCTGGTGAAGTCCAGAGGACTTAGCTTGTCCTCAAGAACTATTTCGGGCACAGGAGGTTAAATAAATAGATGAGCGGAGAGTTACTTTCCATCTTTACGGCCCAGAAATGATGCTAAATCCACCTGCCACTCAGTGGGCAAATAGTTTGTTTACCGGGCACCAGGGACTGTGCGGGGAGATGTTAAAATGACTTTGTCCACGACTTCCCTGGCGGTCCAGTGGTTAGGACTCTGCGCTTCCACTGCAGGGGGACACAAGTTCGATCCCTGGTTGGGGAACTAAGATCCCGCATGCTGCGCGGTGCAGCCAAAGACACCAAACCCAAACCAAACAAAATGACTTTGTCCCCACCCTCGGAGAGCTCACCAGCTCTTCACCCGGGTTCTAGATGCTTCCAACAATCTCCCCCCTAGATAACGCAAAACTCCATTTCCCTGTCAACAACTCCCCCGGGGTCTTGCCCCTTCAGAGCTCCATCCAAGGTGAAGGAGACCCGGCTTCGCACCCTCGCAGGCCTTGGGGTCGCTCGCAATGTGCTCAAACTCCCTGGCTTGCCTCAGCTCCCGGGGGAAGCCGTCAATGAGGAAGGCCCGGCTGTCCAGACAGGACAGCATGCGGTCACTGATCATATCAAGGATATGACAACCTAGGGTGGGAAGGGGAGGCTGCATTCGGGGCCCAGGGGCCCCTCACCTGCAAGGTCACCTTGGCAAGTTCTGGTGTATTTGGGGGAACACCCACTGCTGGGGTCTCTGGAAGCACTTTTTTTTTTTAAATTTATTTATTTTTGGCTGTGTTGGGCCTTCGTTGCTGCGCGCAGGCTTTCTCTAGTTGCGGTGAGCAGGGGCTACTCTTCGTTGTGGTGCACGGGCTTCTCATTGCGGTGGCTTCTCTTGTTGCGGAGCGCGGGCTCTAGGTGCGCGGGCCTCAGTAGTTGTGGCACGCGGGCTCAGTAGTTGTGGCTCGCGGGCCCTTGAGCACAGGCTCAGTAGTTGTGGTGCACGGGCTTAGCTACTCTGCAGCATGTGGGATCTTCCTGGACCAGGGCTTGAACCCGTGTCCCATGCATTGGCAGGCGGATTCTTAACCACTGCGCCACCAGGGAAGCCCTGGAAGCACTTCTGAGAACGGGGCTCGGCCACGGTCCTCTGGGCGGGTGTCTGCCACATGCCAGTTTTGCTGGGCTCGTTTGCTCATCACTGTCATGAGGAACTGGGGTGACCTCCATCTTACAGTGAGGAATCGGGGGCAGAAGGGGCCACTGACATACAGGCCCAGGGTCACAAAGGGAATAAATACTAGCTAAGTTTACTGAGCATTTCTTAAGGGCCAGGAACTCTGCCAAGCGCTTTATAGGAATGACATCACCTGACCCGCACCCCAGCCTTCTGCTGGGGGTCCAGCTGCTCTCCCATTTTACAGTTGAGGACACAGAGGTTCAGGGCAGCAAAGCAGCAGCCAGTGGCCCCAGACTTTGAGGCCCCTTGGCTCCCACAGGGCCTTCCCGGGAAGCTCCTCCCGATGTATGCCCTTCATCCCTCTGCCCCCGCACCTGGGACCTCTCACTGTGGGCACCAGGAGCCCCTGCAGCATGACATCATGGATCTTCTGGCCCCGCCGGGTGCCTTGTTGGGTCTCCTGCCACAGCAGCTGGCCCAGCCCCACGTGGCAGAAGCCGTACTTGGTCGCCATGTTCTTGCACTGTGTCTCTTTGCCACAGCCTGGGCTGCCCATCACGAAGATGATCAGCGGGGACTTGAGGATGTCTGCAGTGCCCAGGCAGGAAGGAGGGAGAGGGGTTGGTGCCTGTAAGGGCCAGCGAGCAGGCACCACGGTGACTGTGTCCACAGCTTAGTGTGTGTACTTGGTGACACCGGACACAGGTCTGCTGGCAGAAATACTTTTGCCCTAGGGTGGCATCTGGGGGTGTGGGTCCACGCCCAGTGGTATATCCAGGCACGGCACCCATTAGTGCTGCTGCGGGTTGTGTGGATGAGGATGGGAACCCAAGCAAGCCAGGCCCTTTGTAGGCAGCATGTCCTTGAAGTGTCACAACGGCCCCATCATCCCATTTTACAGTTGAGGAAACTGAGGCTCAGAGAGGGGTAGGGACTTGTCCATCCCTCCCGTCTCACCCGTCTCCCGACTTCTTTTACTGCATTCCAGCCCAGTGGAATTGGCTGTCCCTTGAACTCATCACCCCCCTGCTGTCGTCCCCCCCACACCGCTCCCCACCCCTGGAATTCCCTACCCTAGTTCCCTTCAGGACACAGCTCACCTATCAGGTCTTCTCTAAGCTCTGCCCAAAGAGCCTCCCACGCCGTCATTCCCAGTCTTAGAATCCCATTCCCTCCAGCAATGGCCACGATCAGTAATGACTCTGCCTGTTTACTTGTTCTTGTTTGTCTCCCCAGCCCGACTCTGTACTCCATGAGGACAGGGTCTATCTGTCTTTCTCGTCCCTATATTCCTAGTAGTTGGCATGGTTTCTGACACATTGTAGTGGATGAGGAATAGATGAATGTCCATAACTATCAGACACATCTATGGAGTGCTGTAGTCTATGGTGCAGTTTTGTTGCCTTGCTTCCCTCCCCTTTTTCTTAGCCAACTCCTTAAACCTTCCTCTTCCCTGAGCCCTCAGGGTCACCTGCTCTTTCCCTGTGGCAGCCCTGCTCCTCCTGGGTTGTAGATACCATTTTCGGAGACTGTCTCCACCACACTGTAATCTCCAAGAGGACAGGGAGTTGGTTTGCCGCATTCACCGTGGACTGCCCAGAACCCTGCACAGCAAGCGCTAATGTGGATCGTTGAATGACTGACCCTGAGCATGTGCAGTTCTGTCACTACCACGGTGGGGGAGGAGGGGCGTGGGGGGGTGGACTTGGGGGGGTGGGGGACCTGTACTTTCCTGCCCTACACAGTCTCCTTCCCCTCCCCCCAGTAAGCCAGCCACCCCCGCGGTATTACCCTTCTCCTGGGGCCTCAGGGGCCTGCCCATCTGGGGCAGCTTGGACTTGCACAGACCCATCCTGCCAGCAGCCCATAGGGTGATCGCGCCCCATCCCCACCTAGGCCCTGACCCCTCCTGGCTCGGTTCAGTGTCCCAAGCTCCCCTGGCCCGATCATTTGGCGAGACGATGGGGTTACCCCCGGGGTTAGGGGTAAGAAAGGAACCCGAAAGAGGCTCAGGTAGTGCCGCAGCAGTCGGGTGCGAAAAAGGCCTCGGTTGCTGTGGTAACGCGGCCTCCTCTGACTCACTTCCGGAGCGGCGTAGCGCATGCGCAAAGGCGTCCAAGAGCCCAAGAGCTGGGCGAGTTTCTCCCTCCCTTCCCAAGATGTCCGCGGTGGTAAGTGGGACGTCACGTGGGGGGGCGTTCCCACGCGGCGTGATGGGGGTTATCGCCGCTATATATTGCGGTCAGCCAGCGCTCCAGGTGTAGAAAGAGTTGTCTTTAGCTCAGAGTCAGCTTCCGCGACGCGGCCTGCTGGAGAGCTTCGCTTCCGGTATAGGCGGCCGCGCAGGCGCAGGTGTGGCACGAGAGGCCTCCGAGGCTGACCGCTGACCCAGCGCCGCCTCCGGATTGATTTTCCCAGGATCTGCTGTACCCTGGGCTTGGGGTCCTCTATCGGAGCCAGAGGCCCGACACCTTGAGGGTGGCTTCCGCGGGACCGAGGGACGCGGACCCCGGGGAAGGCGAAAAGGACGAGGTTCGGACCGGTCCCCGACCATCGCCCATCGCCCATGGCGGCCCTCGTAAGTGTGCGGCGAGGCGGTTCGGGGGATCCAGGTGGTGAGTTCTGTAGCCCCTCACTCACCGTCCTGCTTTCTCTCCCCTCAGGGCCCCAGCAGCCAGAATGTCACTGAGTATGTCGTCCGAGTTCCCAAGTAAGTCCCTGACCCTCACCTCCCCCTCTTCCCTCAAAAAGGGATTAAAATCTTCATGAGCCTCCAGACGTGCCTGGCACCTCCTGATTCTCCTTCCAGGGCTGAGGTTGAGCTGAGGCCTCTGGGGCATCACTTTTTTGAATAGAGTGAATGAATGAATGAGTACATTAATATACAGTAAGACGCAGCCCCCTGCCTAGCATTCCCTCTGGCAGG